CAATTTTTTATCTTTGTGCATGAATGTGCATAGGCCTGGTTATGTTGTTTGTAATGTGCGACCACAAAAGACAGAACTTCCCATTTTAATGAGTTTAAACTGAAAACAGATTCCTGAGCACAAGAATGATGTGTGCACATGTGTGCCTCCTGGGCAAAGAGAGTGTGAGTGTATTTATACCTCCTCACAGCTACAGTTAGTGCCTCGGGGGAGCCAGCACACGGGCATATGACCTCTGACCTCAAGCCCATGCTCTGAAACACTTTCAGGAATGCGTCGCAGCAGGATATCGACCCTAGGAATGAAAGACTGAGAATTTACATCGGGCTTGATTCACAAAGTAACACTCACAGGCTTTGATTCATCATTCACACACTCACAGGGGTTTGATCCATCAGCTATCAGCACCATTCGCAATGAGCTCATGTTGGTGTCACTCTGCTCTTTGTAGGCCATCAGAGCCCAGTGTAGATCCCTACTCTTCACACAAACCACCTTAGCTGCACACACATGGAAAGAGACCAATTACTGAACAGAATGTGTAACACTATGTGTGTTCTTGTTTTATACAGCAGAATTTGCTTCTGATTAGAGTGATAGGTGATCTTTGAACACGTAGGAGATGGGTACACCATCCAAAAAGCCAGGAGACCAAAAGTGTGTTTCTGTGTGTGTACCTTTGTACTGGCAGACTTTCTGGATCCAGGACAGAGGATTCACCTTCATAAGTGCATATGGAACACTGACCACATGTAACATATTCAACACACTCTATAGAGAGAGGAAAAATAAGAGAAATCACGTGTTCAAAAAAGACAGGCTACAGAAAAGTAGAATTTAGTCATTTATATTACCGTTTGAACACTGTGCCAAAGGCCGATGCCTTTCTTAAAGTCTAACACATTCACCATAGTCTCAGCTGAAACACAAACAAATATAAACCACTTAGAAATAAAATCATATGGTTTTGGAACGACATGACAGTATTTTCATTTCGGCTAAATGATACCTTTAAGAATCTGAAGTGTGATATTTTGATATCTTACCCTCACTGTATCCGCAGGTATGTGTAAGTGTTTGGCAGTGTGTGAGCATCGCCATTCTTGTCACAGTTATTCCCAGCACACTCCCATCCTTACAGGTCTTATACTGTCAATCAACCACAAAACACGCCCACTCTCATCATAAATGCAATGAGATCAGTGTATTGCCAAAGAACTACAATACAAGCTCCCTTGCATATTAGGCAGCCTTAAAATCTGCCATATAAATACAAATTTAAGTAAATTATATAAAAATATATTTTAATATATACACTATTGTTTGTATGGGGTTGGTGAATTGTTTTATGTTTTTGAAAGAAGTTTCTTTTTCTCACCAAGGTTGCATTTATGTAAACAAAAATTTTATAAAATATTTGTTTTAAATTTAAAATAACTACTATTTTAATATATTATAAAAATGGTTTTTTTTCCTGTGATGGCAAAACTGAATTTTTAGTAGTCATAAATGTGTTTGCTGTCACTTTCGATCAATTTAATGTGTCCTTGCTGAATAAAAGTATTCACTTATTAAAAAAATAAAAAATAAATAAAAAAAAATTCTGAACAGTAGTGGATTATTAAAAAAATATTATCATTAATTAATATTATCATTAAATAAATAATGATATATTCGAGAAAAATCCAAATTAATTACACACACAATCAAATGGTCTGTTACCTCTATGTATGCTGTGTCATTGTTAGCATCTTTAATGAGAGGAAACCATTCTCGTGGGGGTTTAGATAAATGTTTGGAGTCAGTCAGCACCCAGAGCAACTTTGGCCAGCCTGAATACACACACACACACACACACACACACACACACACAACACAAACATATACAAACTGGATAAAACCACACATATATGTTTAACACACAACAATGTTCCTTTGTGAAGACTCATGTGCAGGTGGTTCTAACAAACATTGTGAAGTCTCTGACCTTTAAACTGCATGACATCACCACTAGTACTCTTGGGAAGACCTTTATGACATGCATCACTTGTTAATGCCACAGCAACTCCACAGCTACCCAACAGGAAACCAATTTGTTGACTCCCAGCATCCTTTGAGGTGAGAGAGCAGAAGGGCACACCTCAGGCAAATTTGTTCTTGTAAAATTTTGGGTAACTATCCTTTTCATAATTACTAATTATTCAATCTTCTAAATATTTGCAGTCCTGCCTAAGCTGATGTGCTATTGCTGGAATTATTTTGCAGTAGAAATTACCTTCTTTGTAAGTGGTACTTCAATTGGGACAGGAACAACTTCAGCCAAAAGACAGCCATAAAACGCCACCATGAATGCTGCAGGGTCATTATTGGGGTAAACCAATGCTACCTACAGTAAAACACACGCGCACACATTGTCTTCATTCTACATCGGTTTTTTAATATATGTCTATATAGTGTGTACAGTGGGGCAAAAAAGTATTTAGTCAGCCACCAATTGTGCAAGTTCTCCCACTTAAAAAGATGAGAGAGGCCTGTAATTTTCATCATAGGTATACCTCAACTATGAAAAACAAAATGAGAAAAAAAAATCCAGAAAATCACATTGTAGGATTGTTAAAGAATTAATTGGTAAATTTCTGTCTTTATAATAGAGTTATGCACAACCGTTCAAAAGTTTGGGATCAGTAATTTTCTTTTAAATGATTCTGAAAGAAGTCTTTTATGCTTACAAAGGCTGTATATAGTAGATCAAAAATACAGTAAAAACGTGTGTAAAAATTACAATTTAAAAGAAATGTTTTCTATTTTAATACATTTTAATACTTAATTTTCACATGCCACATGATCCTTGGAGCTCAAGAAATATTTCTTATTATTATCAATATTGAAAACAGTTGTGCCGCTTAATATTTTCGTGGAAACATCTTTTGGGGATTATTTGATGAATAGAAAATGTCACTTTTTGATCAATTTAACGCATCCTTGCTGAATAAGAGTACTTATTTTTTTACAAAAGAAAATTTTACAGTCCCCAAACTTTTGCATTTTAGAAAAATACATAAGACATTTCAATTTATCCACTCTTACCCTGTCTCCAGGGTGAATGATTGGCTCTTGTTTGGATCCCAGTTTGTGGAGAAGGTTATAGGCCAACTTCAAACTCTTGGACCAGAGCTTGCCTACAAACACAGAAGCAAAGAGATATAAATATGCACCCTAAACAAAAACAATAAAACCCAATGAATGGCTATGAATATATATGCATGTGTACCATATGTAAGTGTGTATGGCTGTTTGGCATTGCTGTGTGTAGTGGTCAGACAGGGAGCTTTGGGTGCAATGGCTCCCCAGCGAAGAAGGGCTGCTTCCAGGGAGGAAGGGCAGTTCTTGAGTCCGTTGAGCTCTTCTCCTTGTATGGGGGTTGACTCCGCCCCCTCTGGGTGTGGCAGAGAAGGATCGGGCTGCTGCACTGCACATGTCAAACGTCAAGAGAAGGTTAGCAATGCATTTGCATGTTGATGAGACCCATGTTCTATATCATCAGGATTCATACTACGTGAATTTCAAGGAAGAGTTTCCCTAAAGTTTCATCTTCCATAAAATTCTGTCATCATTTACTCACACTCATGACATCCTAGATGCGAAAAAAGACAACACAAAGGTGAGTAAATGATGGCAGGATTTGGATTTTTGGTTGAACTATCCCTTTAAGCACTTCACCTCGATCTCTGCAAAAATAGCTAGATCAAATTAACTTGTTCTGTGCAGGGTGTGGAGCGTTTAATATGAGAGTAATGAATTTCAAGACCTTTGACCTGTCATTAACTGTGAAAGTGTTTCTGAGAACTTGTGCAGGGTATTATATTCATTGACTTTTACAGTTACAGTATATTCATCTTTGAAATCAAACAAGGAGACACAAAAAGAGGCAAAAATATTTTAACCTTCCAGAAGTTCTTCAAAATCCTCCACAAAGAATTCTCTCAGGGGTCTTCGCTTGGGTCGCTTCAGGGTGTTAACTAGCTGCTGGATCTTCGCCGACACACGGCTACTGACAGGCACACCTACACACATATATGCAATTATACTACAAATACAAATTCTCACAATAGTAAAAACCGGAAAACTAATTTTAATTGAATAGTATTTCTTTTGTCATTTTAAAGGGGTCATATGATGCGATATCAAGTTTTCCTTTCTCTTTGGAGTGTTACAAGCTGTTCGTGAATAGATAAGATCCCTAAAGTTGCAAAGACTAAAGTCTCAAACCCAAAGATATTCTATTTAAAAGTTAAGACTCGTCCACGCCCTCCTAAAACGCCTCTTTTAAACACGAGCCCACATGTCTACGTCACTGTGTGGGAAGATTTGCATAACTCCGCCCAAATGTTCACGCAAAGAAAGAAGGCATAACTTTGATTCTCGCTGTAGTATTGTTGCTGCCGCCGCCATGTCGTGGAGACGCTGTGTGTTTCGTTGCGAAAGTGAAAATACTTTGTTTGGCCTTCCAAAAGAGGACACAACTAGAAATCAGTGGTGAAGTTGTATTTACAACACTGTTCCAGAACAGTTCAAACCAAATATTCGTGTGTGTGCAACGCATTTTACGGAGGACTATTTCCTGAACCTGGGAGAGTAGCCTACAATGCCGGCTGTTCTGACTCACAGCTTGTAAGTATGTTTTCATATTTATAGAATTTTCCACCGATGATTCAAATGTAAGTTTTGAGAAGTGTAGAGTGGCGCTTGTTGTTTGTCGTTTCTCCGATTTCAAATGTAGATATGGTTTTATGTTTACGCGGCGTGATGCAACGCAACACGTAAAAAGACAGTATAAGTCATTATTATCCGTAATTATTATAATTATGCCCACACTAGATGCAACAAATGCCTAGTTTGTAATGGGTTTTATTGGTTTTGTCTCGTCGAGCCGGGACACGGCATCACAGTATGGTAAGGGGCGTAACATTTCCGTCACACCCTTGAGGTATTCGGCCAATCACAACGTACTGGATAGCTGGCCACTCAGAGCACACCTCGGTTTTCAGAACGATGAGCTTTGTAAAAATCGACGCGTTTCAGAAAGGCAGGGCATAGAGGAGAAACAATAATGTACAGTATGTGGAATATAATGTGTTTTTTGAACCTTAAACTGCATAAACACATTTCATTACACCAAATACACAAAATAATCTTCTTTTTTAGCAACTTCATATGACCCCTTTAAATTAATTGAATTTCATAGACACTGAATAGCTTCCAAACATAATAAATTGCAAATATGATCATTTTAGAATAAACACATTAAAAAACAAAAACCTCTGCACACACACTCACCATCTCCTGTCTCCATCAGCTCAGCATTGCCATATTTGGGCAGGGGCCTGGCTATCATGGCGACCTGTGGGCGTCGAACAGAGATGGGGATGGGGTCTGGCATGTAGCTGGTGATGTCAGGTGGGGCCGACAGACTGTCTGCAGTACACAAACAAACAGATTAACTCATCAGTATAGTAACATTTACCCCAATAAATGTGACGATTCATTATCAGTTATTAGGAATGAGATGCAAATGCGCATGCAGGTAAAATTAAATTGTATACATATCAAACAGTGCTGTGGAGGTAAACCTTTTAACTAGAAGCAAATGCCATTATTGACATTGATATATAATACTGTATGTTGATAAAATACACAAGTTGTCGTATGCTGCCAATCATAACACACACTGGCCCAGCTAACCAATCACAACACAGCTAACCAATCACAACACACACACTGGCCCAGCTAACCAATCACAACACACACTGGCCCAGCTAACCAATCACAACACACACTGGCCCAGCTAACCAATCACAGCACACACTGGCCCAGCTAACCAATCACAGCACATTTCGTATTTCAGAAGGCAGGCCTTCACTTGATACAGGAACTATTCGAGCCGTTAATGCCAGACTGGGGAGAGAGGTGTTGTAATAATGTAAAATATGTGAAAAATAATGTGTTTTTCGAACAACCTAGTATGAGAGTCTGTTCTAGTACACCCCCAAAACAAAATCAAGACTCTGTAAAAGAGCATAATAGAACCCCTTTAAAGGGACAGTTCAAACAGAAACTAAAATTTTGACATCATTTACTCAAACTAAAATGTAATTCCAAACCTGTATATCTTTTTTTCTCCTGTGGAACACAAATGAAGATTTTCTGAAGAACGCTGGAAACCAAACAACACTGGAGCCTATTGACTTCCATTGTATGGACAAACCAAAAAAAGTGTTCCACACCAGAAAGAAAGTCAAATAGTTTTGGAACAACTTGAGAGTGAGTAAATGATGATTTTGGGGTGAACTATCCCTTTTAATGTCAGACAAGTCTTTAGCCCAAAAAAAACATGAAATACTGACCCTCAGAATCCAGAGACGACCAAGGGCGATCTGACTGGTAGTTACTGGAGTGCCTGCCAGCTATTCCATTCTCAGCAGAAACGCCCATTTCTCTTAAGCCCCACCTTTTCAGAGACAGATGAGACATCGGACCAACTGAGGGGAGAAATTGAAAGAGAGAAATCAGAAAGCTAAGCTATAGAAATCATATTAGCAGTAAATTCCTTAGTATATAACTCTTTTTACTTTGCAAGAAGCTGATTGGCTGGTTAGAGTTAAGCATGGAATATGGAATATTCCAGTTCATTTGCTGGAATAAGTTGAACATTATAAGCTAATTGGCTGAAATTGGTTGGGCAAAAAAAGAACTGATTGGCTGAACAGAGATGAGCACAAAGATCTGATTGGCTAAAGTTAGTTGAGCATGAGAAGCCAATTGGCTGAAGTGAAGTTTCCTATGAAGCGAGTCAGGCGTGAGAAGCTGACTGGCTGAAATTGGTTGGGAAAATAGAAATGAAAGGCTGAAGTGAGCTAGACACGAGGAGCTGATTGGCTGAAATTGTTTAGGCAAACACAACTGACAAAGTGAGTGCAAGGATCAGATTGCCTGAGGTTGGTTAAGTATGAGAAAGCGATTTGGGTAACACTTTACTTGAAGGGGTGTGCATAAGACTGACATGACACCTTCATAATCATGACAGCTGTAAAGACGCTTGGAAGCCCCGCAATTGACACATGAGGAGCAATTATGGATGAAACACATGGATAGAGCAACTAACGCATGACTAAAGAGGGTGTTTAAAAGAAAATTCCACTGCCCTGCACTAATTAGCATCAGAATTCACATTAGTGAATTAATTCATTTTTGCAAATCTGAAATTTAAAACTGAAATCACAATATAGCTTAGTGCGATTATAAACCACGGTTTGATGGTTTAGGCTAACATCTGAAAATTAAGAAATTAAAACAGCTATAAATATTAATTTAGCAATTTTACAGATGTACTGTTAAATAAAATAATAATTATTGTTATTATTAATATTAATTTTATTTTTATTAAATACTTGATTTTCAATTTACGGTGTAATATTACAAGCAATATTATTAGTACTATTAGTAATATTTATTTTTTATACTTTCAACAACAACAATTATTATTATTATTATTAAATCACAACCTTTTGGGCCAAATTGTGCAGCACTCCAAACAAGGACAACAAACCTGGAGCTTTTTTAAATAATTAAAAATAAACACATTGCAATTACATTTTCCCCCAGATTATGCAACTTTAAGAGACATATTTAGGTGACCAAGTGTACATGAAAAGTCTTAATAACACTGCATTATAATGTAATCTCAGAAAATAACTC